GCAAGGAGGGCTGGTTAACTGAGTCTAGCTGTGGGCCCAGGAAAAAGAGAAGAAAATAAATATTTCAGAGAGTTTAAGCAGTTTAAGCTAAAATACACTTATTTTTTTTGTTCTAGCCAGTTAGTTTGGCTCAGCGGATAGAACATCATCAGCCTGCGAACTGGATCCTGGGTTTGATTTCGGTCAAGGGCATATGCCCAATAGGGGGAGTGCAGGAAGCAGCCAATCAATGATTCTCGTCATTGATGTTTCTATCTCTCTCTACCTCTCCCTTCCTCACTGAAATCGATACAAATATATCTTAAAAATAAATAAATAAAATAAAGTTATTTTTCTTTATATTTTTTGAATTGGAAATGTTCAATGTTACTTGGAGAACAATATAATAAGTCACATTAGCATTTGAAGAAAGGGAAGGGATGAAGCCAATGAAAGTTGGTCAGGAGGATTCCAGGACCCTTTGCATCATGATTTCCACCACCAATGTAACTCAAATCAAGTCCACTTCCTCGTCAGTGGCTATGGGACTTAAATAAAGGTTGTGTCCTTAAGTGAAAGATTAAGATTAAATTGAACTGGAAACTTGGCACCACACTACACTGTTCAGTGGCCTGAGGAGCTGGAATTAATTTGAAGCAACTATTACTCATGCTGATTGTGTGTCACTTGGAACGGGTGATGCTTATTGTGTCAGCAAAGCATCCATTGCATTCATTTTCCCTCCACTCCAAGGGCCAGTCCTCCTAGTTCTTTATTTGAGGTAACAGGCAACTGGCTACTCCATCAAGTGCTTATTGAGTGTCTATTCTGGGCTCGACACTGTCTGGTCCCCACTTTCTCTGCAGCAAAGGCAGCCCAGAGCTCCACTTCCCTGTGTCCTTTAGGGAGTGGGTGTGGTCATAAGAAGTTGGAGGTGATTATATTTCTGTCAGTGAATCATATTTTCCCATTTGCTTCCATTAGGATGTTAGAGATGCTTTTCTTGGAATTGGAGGGTGGTGAGTCTTGCCTTAAAATATAAAGAAATTACATTTTAGAACACAGCAAATTTTAATCTCTCCAGAGTTAAAAGGGAGGGAAGCTGATTTTTCTCCTGACATATAAAAATGATTTTTTTCCTGAAACTTAAAAGAGAAAAAAAATTAGAAATTCATTCTCTGGAGATCAGAACCCTCTAACAATCTCCTTTAGTTTGTGCAAGCCAGCACCCACAGGGAAGATTAGATTTCTTCACATCGCCTATTTGTTGCTCTCTTCTGTGATTCTCTCCCTGGCATCATAAATATTCCTTTTCAATTCCCTAAATTTTTACTGTTTCCTTTGGGAGATATTTGAAAAGCAATCCTCATTGCCATTTATTGTATTTAGTTTAAGTTCTATCTTTGAGTTCTTAATGTGTTAATGTGCCATTTAAAGAAATACATTTCTCTCCTCTGGTCAGGGAAGGTTGAACTTTCTTCATTGTAAATGGGTTTATTTGATTAATTTTATAATTTAGAATCTTTGTTGGTCTAGATTCCAAAAGGAGGAGTTCCTTTAAGCTCACTGCAACTACACTTGCTTTTGAAGGAGCCCTTTATTTTGCAGTGAATAAAGTGTCTCTTATTAAACAGAATAGAAAAGAATGTTTGGCAGGACTCGACTCCCAATGGGTAAAACATCACAGGAAATTGAGAAATTGTTTCTTTTTGGCCTTGTGGGAAAGTTTTGCTGGTGAAATTTAGTATTAAGGCTTTAAGACTACTGCTTAAATCCATCAAGAAAGAGCTGTCAGACCAGGGACAGCTTCTGAGGTGGGGGAGGAGAAAGAGGTACCAATGTGACTCTGATAATCTGGTCTTAAGTTTTCCAAGTACTCTGAGATACAGGCAAGAAGATTGTATTCTGTCTTACATAATAACTGTGTTACTGTTAAAGAGAGAACTTAGAAATCTTTTAACAATTTAGGAATAAGTTTGTCTAAAGTTCATCTCAGCTGGAAGCCCTTTCCTTTGTTCCTGCAAAACAGGGTGTTTATGCGCCCAAACAAGAAATACATCTAGCTTCTTCCCACCCACGAAGCCATGGATTCTTGATCTTGGGCAATTCTACTTTAGGTATTAGATATGTGTTCTGAGGTCCCAACACCAGTCCCCATATAGGCGCCTCTTTTGGGATTTGTGCACCACACCTATGCTGTCAGTTTAACCCCCTAACCCTCTTTGGAGACACTGTGAGCAGCATCACCATATGTCTCATTGTTCAAACCCCTAACCTTCATTATTCACTTCCCATACTCCCCTCAATTTGCAATCAATCACCATGTCCTGTTGATCCCCCTAAATATGCCTGATAGCCATCCCTTCTTTTCCCAGAACCTGGTTGATGCCAGTTCTCTCGTGCCTTGATTTCTCTAGAAGCTTCCTTACCAGTCTCTGGCCCTCAGTTTTTCCCTCTCATAATCTTGTTTGCACCCTGTAGCCAAAATGACTTTTCTGAAACTAATCTTGATCATGTTACTGCCTAGCCTAAGATTTCTTTTTGCAGGGGGTGAGAGTAGGGGGGACTACCTATAAAATTTAATCTCTTGGTTTGGCCCTTATTTTGTTTCTCAGTTTCCTTTACTTTCCAGCCCCATCAGCCCCTTGACACAGGCAGGACTGCCCATGCTGGACGTGACTGGACTCCTTACACCAACAATGCCCTCTCTGCTTTCCCCCATTCAGGGCTAATTCTAACCTGTTGTCCAGAAGCCAAAATCATGTTTCTCTCTTAACAGAATATCCACCCCTGCCCCAATTGGATAGTTACTCCTCCCGAGTCTCATACACCCTGGACATACTTCTAGGGTAGCTGATCTTTGATTGTAAGCTCCTAGGGGGGAAGCCACACAGCCCGTTTCGGTTGAATAAATAAATGAGAATAAATGACTACTTACAGTGCTTTTTATATATAAAATTGAATCTTGATTATAGTGTTGTAAACTTTGGCTAATTTTGGCTAGTTTTGGAAAGGCAGCTATGAATGAAAAAAAAAGTCTAAACCCCAGATTTGGCATCAGAAGGCTGGGTCACTGTGAGCTGTGACCTTTGCTAAATCTATCAGCCTCTCTGAGTCTCAATTCCTTGTCACTGAATAGAGGATAATATATTAAAGTAAGGGCTTGTCTGGGGTGTGTGTGGGGTAGGGGGCAGCACTTGATGAGTTATAATGACTACACAAGTGTTATCTGCCTTATTCTGATTATTTCCATATCTGCAGTCCTTACTGCACCCATGCCAAACACCAGCCCAGAAAACAAAGTGTGAATGGTTTCATGTGGTACAGGTCAGGGGTGAGTATTTGCCAGGTCTCTGTTCAGTTAGGTGGACACATGCCAATGGCAAGGACAAAAGTAGGAAATGGTTCCCCCTTAGCTTTCCCATTGGAAATATACTCTTACCTTCTCATATATTATTGGTAACACTAAGATCTAGATGTAGTGGGAAAGCAATTTGATGACATGTGTTGAGAAACTTAACAATAGTTACCCCTTTGACCCAGTAATTCCATTTCTAAGATTTACCTTGAAGGCATGATTTTTGAAAATGGAGATGGGAACACCTAAAATGGGTAAAGATGTTCCTTGCAGTTGTGTTTATTATAGTTAATGATCGAAAATAATCCGCCTATATATCAGTCGGGGACTGCTGTGCCATTGTCCTTCAGTGGGTATTCTGTAAGCTAGAAACATGATTTTCAGGTGAAAAAAGCAATCTTAAAAATTCAACCTACGGTTTAATGAAAACTGTGTAAATCAAACAAATATAGGAAACAAAAAGGAAGCAGGAGGAAAGTACACCCTGATTCGATAGGGATTCTTCGTAGTTAAGAAATCCACACGCTCAGCCCTGCCTCCCTAGACCAAGGACCCCGTGAATGAGGTCCACTGTCCTCTCTGCAAAGGAGTCTTTATTTGGCATTGGATGGAGGCCAGACCTTCATCCCGTCTTCTAAAACCTGGAAGGAAGCATTCAGAGGAACATCAATCAGAAGTAAAAATCGGCTTAGAATTTGGAGAGCTGAAGTTCTGAAATACCAGGGAAGGAAGGGCTAAATATACTTGAAAAAATAGTAATCATGACACAACTTTGGAAGGCATTTTTGAGTGTGCAAAGAGTTGTACATACATTGCTTCATTTAAGTTGGCTCTTCTTCTACATAGTTCTTTATCCTAATCCTTATAAAAAGTCACCACAGATCTAAACAGCTGAGTAACACCATTACTTACTTGTTCTCCATTCTTTTATTGGCTTTGACCCAAGGATTTCCTGCCGTGCAAAATTCACTTTGAACCCAGTGGAAATTACCGAGAAGAGAACATTCAAGCCCAGGAAGTAAACAGCCATTTCACTGTAGTTTTATTCACTGGAGGACCTGCAAACATTTGGTAGACCTTTCCTTACACGTACCAGTGGAAACTGTATTGTAAGAGGCACGGATCTGCCATGAGCTACCCACCATCACACAGCAAGTCAGTCTTGGAATCCTTGTAGAATCGATTCCCTTTTTTCCCTCTTGAATCCCCATCCAGCCCAAGAGTCCGTTCTACCAGAAGAGGAACATGAAATCTTAGCTGTCTTAGCTCCAGGAAAGATCTGCTTTCCCTTCTTATTTTCTCACACAGCCGTGGATCAGCACTCCTGTGCATTTCTCAGTTGCGTTGTGTATTTCCACCCAGGAACTCTTCTGTTTTCCACTCCATACTTGGGGAGAGAACTGCTCAGAACTTTTAACCCTGGGTTTTGGTTCTTTTTCTTGAAGATTGGTTGTTGTCCCTTATCTGACTTGAACTTCCATGTTCTCAAGATGAGAAATAGATCTTTACACAAAAATCCAAGGGTTGGGAGTTTGAGAGGAAGCTTCCGTCCTCAATGGAACTTTGAGAGGGCGTTGGAGTTATTTCACTAAGGACAGTGCTGAACACCTCTGGTTTGCGCTTCTCTTTCGACGTTTATTTTATGTTCTGTTGTGGTTTTCAGATTTCTCATGGTTTGGATTTGGGAATGTAAAATCAAGACAAGGTGTTGGTAAGTAGTTACTTCTTCTTTGGATAAATAATGAGCTTGTGTTTAATTAGATGAAACTGTTGAGCCTCTTCATACTTGTTGGCCTTTGATTCATTTTTTCATGTTCCCAGTTTCTGACTTGCTGAAGAAGGAGGCCTAGAATTTTTTTTCCCAGAATATGCATTACTGCTGCTCATTGAGTTTCAGTAAATGGTTCTGTGTTCTTGAAGTTGACTTATTTTTACCCTCCGGGGATGTGTCAACTGTCATCCAGTTCTAGGTTGTTGATGCATTTCTAAGAAGATTAAAGAAATAAAATACAACTGGACTGCAGCTCCATGCCCAGCAAAGCTGGCTGAATATTCATGCCTGGAAAGTGTGGGGCTTAACTTTCATTGGCCACGATGTAATAAATTTCTGCATTGGTAAATCAGCTGTTTGTTTATGACCATTTCTCATTCAAGACAAGGCTAACATTCTAGACACTATGATTTGTGCTTGATTGCATTTGATTCCTTGCAATTGTGTTGACAATTGAAGAGCAGAGCTTATAGCTATCAAATGAGTGCAGATAATGTATCTCATCGCTAGGATTGAAATCAGGTGTGATCTCCCGGGACCTCCAATTTGTTTAGTATTTTTTATGCGTACAGAGACAATGAAGAGGAATTGCTAAGAAGGCATGAAAAGACAGACTTCCTTCCATTTTGCATATGCTTTTCCAAGATTTAGCCATCTTGGGCATCTGTCGGTTAATATTTATTTTGGTTGCAAGGTTGGCTAGAGGCAAAATTGCAAAGTATACCAGTGTCATAGAGCCTTCCAGTTGTGAGCCCTCCCTGTCCATATGAGGAAGCCTGTTCATTTCCCTTTTTGAACTTGATATCAGTCAGTCTGCCCTTAACTAGCCCTATGAATTCCAAGGGAAGAGTTCTCAACCAGCAAAGGGAAAGTGGAGATGTGGTCAAGTTGGAACATTAAACTCAACCATCTCAGGATTTGTCGGCAACTCCCCAGGGCACATGTCAGATACAACTGATCATAGGCATTTTGAGAAACCAGAGAGAATCCTGGGCAGTATGGCAGGTGGCCTGTTTGATGGCTTGTGTTGTGTATGTGTGTGTGTGTGTGGGCGGGGGGGGGTCGGGGAAGGGAGGCAAGAGGAGTTGGGTGATAAATTCTCCCACAACAGTGCTGTGGGATGGGGCCTTCCCTCCACTAAATAGTAAATCACTCTAACACTTAAACATTTTTCAGGCCAGTTCACCATGCAGGGAGGTGCTGGTTCCTCAAAAGCTCCAATAGCAGGATTTCACCCTTTTAGGCCACAGCAGAAAGAATTCTTTTTTTTTTCAATGTTGAAATTCCTTTTTATTTTTTTTTAAATTTTTTATTACAAAGGGTATTACATATGTGTCCATTTTTCCCCCCCGCCCTAGACAGTCCCCTAGCCTCCCTTATCCCCCAGTGTCTTATGTCCATTGGTTATGCTTATATGCATGCATACAAGTCCTTTGGTTGATCTCTTACCCCCCTACCCCCCGCCCCCCAACCCTCCCCCGCC